TCAATATTTGCAGGAAATTTTATGTTGATAAAAAGCACAAAACAGTACTTAGAGTACGTTCGAAATCGAGCTGAATGACCAATATAAATAATGAACAGAATCAGTTCTCTGATTTATAATTAATTACATATATAATGTAACAAAATTCCTGGTAATGATGCCCTAAATTATTGGTTTGGTAATAACGAACGCATATTAAATAACAATGACTACGTTACATAGATCGTTACGATTAAATTTGGAGGTTAATCGACTTTAAAGGTAATTCACACTTTGGACTAGTCATTAATTTGGCAGAGAACATATGAAACGCATGTTTAGGCCCAATAATAGCTATGAAAATGGTTCGTAATATCCTTGTTTACATCATGTTATATTATAACCAAATACAATTAAAAAGAAAATTAAAAATGTATTGTCTATACGCTTGGTGCATTTCAGTTGATTTTAAAATTTCCTACTAATTCCGACTATAGTATTTCACGCAGTCCCATTACCGTGTAAAACCCTTGATGAATACGCAATAGTAAAACTATGCTCGTTGCCGTAGTTGAGTTCATCTAAAAAGTTTTAATAGCTTGATTAATAAATTATAATACAAGTTAGACCTTGTGAAGATATCAAAATTTTTTGTTTTTTATTTTTATTTTTAGAATTTCCACAAATTATACAACACTTTTATAATAATAATATACCAAATTTTTCGTGTATTCGCTATTTAAACCGGTGTATTTGTTTAGTCCGTTGTTTACAGTATCCTCCGACGGTGGCAGCATCGGCAGAGAATGCACCAAGCCAATATCTTTGTAGTTAGGTTTAGACAAATTATAAGCAAAAGTAATAAAACAATTTAAATAAAATCAATCTACAAAAAATAAAAAACAAGTTAACAAAGCGAAAGAGAAATGTTTTAATTGCACTGTAGTTGCTGTTCTTTCATTTTTGCAATTTCCTAATTGAACAAACAGAGCCCGTTGAAAACACATAAAGTCGTTTAATTAAATATACTTTATCGCGATATTATCTCCTCGAAAGAACAAAACTTTCATAATTAAATTCAAAAGTCCGCAGTCAAGATATAAGTGGTTGATCGACTTCCAATAATATGAGTTTTTTCTATCTTAAAAAGATCAATTTTATATGGTATTAAAACCTGCTTACAAATCTTAATAACTCATTTTGTCAGGCGTTCTTGCTGCATAAATTGCAAAATAATTCGTTTCATACATCAATATTGTTTTATGAAATAGAATTTTCACGTTGTGGTCTTCTATTTCCATAAACTCAGAATATATGCTAATTTTAACGATATACCTTGGCCGAAGCGTTGGCTAAAACAGGGCATACGAAATATGAATGCATTTTAATGCCTATGTTATATCCCTTACAAATTCGTATATTCAAACCAGAAGCCCTGTAGAAATTTATTAGGATGACAAAAGAAATTACTTTGACAAGAATTCCTAATTTTTGTAAAATTCGACTGGCTTAGCAACAAAGTATTTAGTAAAATCGTTACTTTGAATGACACTTGATAACGGTCAGTGATAGTTCTGACCGAAACGTTGTGTAAGCAAAAATAAATAAAGACAATGGAAGTCCGAAATTCATTTAGTTTTGATAAAATCCTGACATAGGGTTATTACAGTTTATTTAATATAAAAGCCTTTTTCTTTGTAAACTTACAAATTGAAGAAAATGCGCAATCCGGGTTAGCCCTAAAATAAAGACGTGCGACTCGTAACTCTATAAATTATGTTAGCTTGTATATTTTCATTACGAACAAGCAAAGTTGTGCGGCCACTAAGTAATGTGTCTGGCCAGTGTTTTGTTTCAAAGAATCGTTTCATCCGTTTCCGCATAATTTATAGCGGGCTAGCCTCGATGTTTTTTACACATAAAACTATCAATCCAGTTGGAAAATTTCGGGAAATGTTCCCTTTCTTCGGTCACAGACGGTGTAACATCATCTATTTTCCGGTTTTTTTATTCCCAGACCGCGTGAAAAATTCATAAAGCCCCTCCAGGAAAAAATATGTCGCAATGATGGATATTTGAAAAATTTAATCTAATATAGGAGACACACAGTAGGTGAATTGATGTAAAGGACAAAGTTAGTTAGAAGTTTTGGCTATTTATTTACTTGTGTTCAAAGATCTCAGAAAAATAAGACATGGTCTTAAAATTTTGATAATTATTAAAACATAAATTTTTGAATATTGTATGGTTACAGTTGAGGGTTGGAACCTTTGGTGTTACACAGCAAAATAAAAACACTAAATCACCACAATACACCAAAATACCTTTACTTTTACACTGGACGCGCGTTTCGCTAACCATGTTAGCATCATCAGCAGATGATTATAAACTAAAGTACAATCTACAAGTTGAGCGTTTATATACTCGCCCAGTGGGCACCGAGTGGGCGTGGCAAAATCTAGCCAACCGAGTCAGAACCCACTGAGCGTAACAGTTAGATTTCCGCCACTAGAGTAGTAAGAACAAAGACTTGAAGGAATTGGATCGTTGTCTCTGTTCATACTATCTTTACATTATTATTAATTCTGATGCTTTCATATGCATCTAATTGCCTGTAATTTGAGACTTGTTTAATTAATTTTAAATTATTAAGATCTATACAATGTTCTTTATCAACAATATGTTCGGCAACGCAAGATTTATCCGGTCTACCATATCTTATCTGAGCTAAATGTTCTTTAAATCTAGTTAATATTGATCTTCTAGTTTGCCCAACATATTTCTGATTACAATCTTTACAAGAATACAAGAATTTCATAAATACCCGACCTTTCCAGTGGAGGTGTTTTATCTTTTGGATTGCCTAATAATTGTTGTAATTTATTATTAGCACTATACACAAGTTTATAATTGACATTCTTAAAAATTCCTTTTAGACCACGGGATAACTCTCTATCAAACGGTATCGAAAAATATTTAGACGTATCTTTCTCCACTTGAAAAGTCGAATTTTCAGAAATCATTAACGTAGGTATAGGTTAATGATTTCTGAAAATTCGACTTGGAGAAAGCATCAGAATTAATAAATGTAAAGCGGAAATCTAACTGTTACACTCAGTGGGTTCTGACCCGCTTGGCTAGATTTTGCCACGCCCACTCGGTGCCCACTGGGCGAGTATATAAACGCTCAACTTGTAGATTGTACTTTAGTTTATAATCATCTGCTGATGATGCTAACATGGTTAGCGAAACGCGCGTCCAGTGTAAAAGTAAAAGTGTTTTGGTGTATTGTGGTGATTTAGTGTTTTTATTTATCTATTGTATGGTTTTAAAGCTTTTTCAAAAATAATCAGCTCATAAAATTTTAAAAATCTCAGTGCATATAGGCAATTTTATGTATTTCTATAGTATATAAACCTTTAATGACTTCAGGTTTTGTGAGGAAATACATCTTTTGAACCCTTATATTAATAGAAAAAGGTAAATTTTTTGAGGTTACATGTTTTCAAAGCCCATTGAAAAATAGTCAACATGCCCAACCAAAGCAAAAAAAGTAAAAATCACGCAATTGCGATTTAAAGTGTTTTTCTTAAATTTTACTCCATTCCGTATAAAGCTGAGACCGAGTTAATTTAAATATAAAAGATAACTCTGTGTTAAGCGGGGAAATAATAAATCTAGATGAAAATTATTCCTTTGTTACCTTCGCCATATATCCTTTTGATCCTAGTCCTTTCTCGGTTAAAGACATTTCATTACAATCCCACAACGTAAGCTTATTATTTTTCGTTGTTTTATGAATATTACAATAGAAGATTAAAATTCGAGTGGGGTGAGCTGATTACGGACGCTCCGTAGTGCCGTGAAAACGTCAAACAGTAATTAAAATCGGATAGAACATTTTGTCTCGTTCTTAATTTGTGATTAAAAAAATTCATTAGGAATAATTTAGCTACTGCTAGAAAATTTACCATTAAAATCCTCTATTGCAACTTGATTTATAGAACTATATTTCTAATATTTAGTTTATCACACGATAAATTAACGGTTTACAACTCAAGAAAGTCATTTTTCGACTATTAAAAGTTTTGAAAACTTCAGTGTATGAAATTTTATTTATTTTTGGAAAATGCAAACTTTTAAGAGCTAAACGATTTAATTTTGTGAGAAAATCCATTTTTAAAACCTTATGGAATAAAATAATTTTTTACCTATATTACGATTTCAAAGCTCTCTGAAAAACAGTAGTATTTTTGGAATACACAAACTTATAAGGGTCCCAAGGATTTGTTTTTGCAAAGAAATGCATTTTTAAAGCCCTTGTATGGAATAAAGTCAATTTTTGGCTATTTTACGACTTCAAAGCTCTCTGAAAAACAGTAGATATGGTCATGAAATATTGGAAATGTCAGTAGGCCTAGGAAATTTTACGTATTTTTAGAAAATGCAAACTTTTAAGGGCATAAACGAATTAATTTTGTGAAAAAATCCATTTTGAAAACCCTTGTATGGAATAAAATAAATTTTTGGCTATTTTAAGCTCTCTGAAAAACAGTAGAAATGGTCATAAAATTTTGAAAATTTCAGTAAGCCTAGGAAATTTTACGTATATTTGGAATATATAAACTTTTAAGGGCCTCAATGATCTCGTTTTGCCAAGAAATGCATTTTTATTGAACTATGTTTAATGCCGACATAAACAGAAATTTATGTAAATATTCTTGTACGATACCTTTACTCTGATTACGTTAATTCTGTTAAAAGTTTATTATTTTTTTGGCGGTAGTCAGAGAAATTCCAAAGTTTTGTTTATTTGACCCTGTTTTGGATTACAGATCATTAGTCTCTGATAATTAAGGTAAATTTGTTGGAAGGATAAACAACTTAGGGTTGTTAGGTATATTTTAATTAAATATGAAATTCTGGAACTATAATATTAAATTGTTAAAAAAGTTTTTGGATAACTACAACCAAAGTGTTTTATTTTAATACCGTCACTATATTTATGTATTTTATTACAGAAGACACCGACATGGCAGTATGATTCGTAAGTAATTCTCACATTTATTGAAGAGCAGCTGTGATAAGAAAATACTGAAAAAAATCTGCAAAGGTAAGTGCTGTAAATGTTGATACTGTTACAGTTTGCCACTTAAATCAGTTGAAGTTTTGTATAATATTAATGAAGAATTATTTTTATGCCCATCTAAAAAACTCTAGGGGAGTTTCTTCAATTTCATGAATTTTAAATGACATTCTTATCAAACTAATTATAAACGTTATAAGTTCGAGGGAACAGTTTGGAATTTAGATGCGATAAGTAAATGACAGCCCATCAATTTCCAACTTAAAATTAGCCCATTTTCCAGGAAATTCCCCAACTTACGACATATATGTTCGCAAAAACTTAATTTTAAACCTTAAATAATATATAACCTATTTCAAAATATACAGGGTGTTTCAAAAAACATGTGCCATCTCTCGTGGGGAGATTCCTCACGTAAAAATAAGACTTATTATTCATATCAACATAGTTCCGATTCTTCTTTGTTTCGTAGCTACAGGGTGTTAAAGTCTTAATAATCTTTCGATTTATTATAATTTTCTTCCGAGTACTTTTAATGCTAAAAACGTGCATATGGGTTATCACTGGGATATTAACAAAAAAACATGTGCGCCAATGACTTTTTCATTTGATATTAAAATTATGTAGACCGTTTAATGCCAGTTAAAAGTTATCTCTTGATATTTTGCCCAGTTCGGCCTCCTTGATTAGATAAACGCAATTTTATTAATCACAATTAATAAAATTAATAAATTATATACATATTTTACCGAATTTATTATTAAATATTGTTACTATTAGTTATTATTACTATTGGTCCAACATACAGCAATTTCAAATAAAAACATAATGGTATTTAAGATAATTACAAAAACTCTAAAACTATGTATTTTCATATCCATGTTTATAGGAACTTTTTTTTTAAAATCTACAATTTATTCTTCTTTTTTATAAAATACGAAATATGTCAATATCCTTAGATTTTAGGTATATGCTTCTTTAATAAAACTAACCTTTATTTTTTTCCTAGAATCCGAAAATCAGTTAATATATAGGGTGTTCCATTAGAAAAAACACAACTTTGATATGTAACTTTTTTTGGGGACACCCTGTTTAATTCTATATATTTTTATAAAATGCTTTCAGTTAAACTACATATGCTTCCAAAATTTCATTTCCATATAAACTACCGTTCTCCTTGGAGCTTCCGCGGCGTATGAGAGGCGCCACCCTGTATATAGGCTCATTATATGTACCGGTAATAGGGGTTACGTTATATAATAACAATCTTTTTAATTGATAACTAGAACTATAAGCACATCTAAAAAATACACCATCCAATTAATATCTTTAAAATTAGTAAATTAAAATTTATAGAATTTTATGCATTTCTTTCAGACTTTCAACAAGATAAATTATCCTAAATATAAATACTACATAATATACTGAGTATATTGTAGTTTTTTGTCAAAATCCTCCCCACTCGTTGGACAGGCCTAATTTAGAATAATTTGGTATTTTTTTAGTTCTCTTTTGAATAAAGAAAATATTCTACCTGCAATAATCATTGGTTCTACTTTTTCTTGATAATTACCAATATTTTTTAAAAAATCTTCATTTAATCAAAAATTATATACTTTCATGGATCACTACCCAGAAAATTCCTCTTGTAAATTGCAGCTCCATAATTTTCATATCATAGTTTCGATGAAAAATTCATGTGCTATTTTCTTTTTAATAACAGGATCGAACGCATTCTGGCCTATACTTCAAAATGCCGTATAGCAGATAAAAAATAAAAGATTGAATTTCATTTTGAAAAGAATCCGCACTAATGGATTAAGCACCATTCATTGAGGTTTTTTCCCAGAGTTCAAAAAGCTCACATTTCCAATAAAGCGATTTAAAAAATCAGTCTATATTTCAACAGGAAAGTTAACATTCTTGTTTTTTTTATTTTCAGAAGTATATTTATCTGTAAATCAATATTAATAGATACAAAGAACTACCTAAAGTTTTGGAAAAAATATGAAGGATAGGAAAACAATATAACATCTTTCAAAACACAAAATACACTTTGATCCATTTTACCCCAGACTAAACCAATGAACACTAGACAACAAACAAAAAATGTAATATATAGAAAATACTAGTAAAATAATACCAATAATTTTTTTATTGGTAAAATATCTAGACAAAAAAAGATTATTTAAAAAAGGGCGATTTTCACAAATCTAAGATTTGTCAGCATTCATGGGACACAGGGCACAGAGTAGATTTTAACAACGCAAAAATTAATATGAAAGAATTGTTAAATAGTAGTAGTGGGAACTATCGAATGAATACTATCGAAACATTCGATAGTTGCAATTCATTCGAATAATTCGATAGTTAGTAAGAAAACATTCGTTGAAAACTATTCGAATAAAAATTATCGAATAGATCCGTCATCTGCCTTGAAATATTGTATTCTAGTAATTCGGCAGCAAAAACCATTCATTTATAAAATTCATTCATTTATGAAATTCATTTATTCGTCAGGATCGATTATAATAAAATATTAACTGAATTTTAGTTGTCGCCCGGCGACGTAGGTTTCTTTCCGAAAAACCCCACAGCGGTCGGTGGCAATGCTATGAAAGAAGCCGGCATCTTTGATTTTTTGCGGAGTCAGATATAGATAAGGACACATTATTTTTTTTATTGAGGTGCTAGTATTTACACAGAAAATACATTATGAAGGGCGCTGTTGCCATATTTTGGTATTAGTTGATATTAGCAAGGAATATTATTGTTTGGCTTTAGTTAGTTAAGGCAAAGTTTACAGAATATTCTGTAAACTTTGGTTAAGGTTAGTATGTCTATATATTCTGCATTTTTTTCTTAATATTCTGTTGTTACACTGCAATAATACTTGTTATTTTAGATGTAGGAAAATGATTTTTAATGTTTTTAAGCAAAGACTGGTTTAATAAATAATAATAACAGTAATAATTTGTTATACCTATTAACAACAAAATTTAAAATCATTTAATATAAATATTTTTTTTAAGTAGTAGCGAAATATAAACAACAAATTAGATGTCAAAATTATTTATATTAGATCCTATTTAAAAATAATATAGTCTCTAAATTTTTTGTGTGCGGCAACGTTGGTTTATTAAATAATAATAATAACAGAACTAATTTGTTATATTAACAACAAATTTTAAAATCATGAAATATAAACATTTATTAATTTTCTAAGCATGCAGTGTAATGGAAGGAAAATATAAATAAAAAATTAGAAATCAAAATTATTTATATTAGGTGCATTATATTACTATTTAAAAATTATATTTACTTTTACTGGCATTTACTTTAAAAATAAATGAAATATTTCTTCATAAAAAACTACATGTAAGAGAATTAGCATAAACAAAATACAAACATCGTTAACTTTTTTTTTAAATTGGCACGTGTAAAACTTTTATTTTAATTTTCTCACCCCATAGTTTGAGTTCGATAACCATTTACTTAACCACATTACTTAAATATGATTATTAAGTTCAACTAATTCATATTATTAAAACATCTAAAATACAAATACGTATTTTTAAAATTAATTGTAAGTTCATCTCATCTCTCTTAAAAATTGCTACTTCTCAAAATTTCCCATTAACAAATAGACCATATATCATATAAAATTAAATAATTGAAAGATCAGACTACGGAAAGCCACACAAATTTTCGGAAAAATTTTGACCACCTGCACATGCACACAATCGTCAATAAATAAAATTAAAAAATAACTACTATTTTAGTATTTTAACTATTTTAATAAACGCAAAAATAGTACAGTATTTATACGGCTAAGTTATAAAAATTTGGAAGAACTAATAATGCCACTGACGCATACAAAATCAAAGGAATACTAAATTTCATTTATCAAAAAGCATTCGATAGTCGTGGCTCAACGATAACCATTTAGTCGCACGGCGAGGTTGTCACATATGCTTTAGTATACAAATGAATGAATGATTTTATTCGAATAAAACCATTCGATAGTTGAAATCATTCATTCATTAACCATTCGATAGTCTAATTCATTCGATAGTTCCCATCGCTATTAAATAGAAACAAAGTCTAATATAAATAAATGTACTGCTCAGGCATCTATAGAGGTTAGTAATGTATGGTTATCGCTTCTCTGATTTTAATGAACATAACATAAATAAACATAAGTAAAAATTAAAAACAAATAAAAAAAAATCATATACAGAAAGTTTGTGTTCTTTGGTTTTATCTCATAAAATAATTGTTATCAGGTAGTAATTTTATTGTTAATTTTGAAGTTTAACCTGATATAATGTCATTTTAACAGACGTTTTTTATAGACGTGACCGTTGAAAAAAACTAAAGTGTTCTTGAATAGTTGTATTTAGATATTTTACGACTGGAAGAGATATACTTTCCGAAACGTTAAGCATCTTTTTTGTCCGCTAGGTAAATTTATTTATTAGTAAATCACTTCAGACAAGTTGGTCTTCGTTGGATTAACGCTATAGCGTTTACAAAAAATAACTGTTTTATTTTGTAAATTTTTAGAGAATGTAGGGAAATAACCATAGAACTTTTTTTGAAAAGATGAATCCGCCACAGAGTTACAGACATTTGTTAATATTGATATAATTGTGACGTATTATTAATAAAAAAAAATCAAAAAAATAATAAAATTATCAAATAAATAGATCATTTGCATATAAATAATTATACTGCTTGTCACATTATGGCATACCATAAACGAGGTCCCATGAAATATAATTAGACTAGACATATTTATGAAAATTACTTGCAATTTCCCTAATTAAAATTGCTAATTAAATTACACATGCGAAAAACGGTAGAATCCCCGCGAAATTTCATTTAAAAAGAAATTTCGCATAGAAATAGGCGTTTTCACCTGTCTGTCCTAACCTTGATAAGAACTTATTTTTAGAACTAGAATATTTGGAATGGTTTGAATGATGGTAAGCATGCCAATAAAATTCTCAAAATTTCAGTTCTTGTAGGTAATTTTATGTATTTTTAGAATATGTACCTTTTTAGGAGCTTACGTGATTTTTCCATTTTCGAAAGCCTCATATGGAAAATATCAATCCTTGACTATTAGATGTTTTAAAATGTCTGAAGAATGGCAAACATAGGTATAAAGTATTGAAAATTTTAAAAAATGATTTGATTTTATACGGAAATCCACTTATATTTAAAAATAGTAAACTTTAGGCTATTACATATTTTCAAAGCTCCTGGAAAGATAGTAAATATTGTCTTAAAGATTAAAAACTTTAACACACGGAAGAAATTTTATAATATACAAACTTTTAAAGGCTTTGAAATGCTTTAGCTTTGCCAGGAAATCCAGGTTATGAACGAACAACTGTTTAAAAAAGTAAATTTTTGATTATTACATGTGACCAAAGTTCTTTGAAATATAGTTTAAAAATTCTAAAATTTGTATGTATGATGAGTTATAGACTATAATATGATGAGTTATAACTCAAGAAAGGGGGACAAAATAGATTTTTAAGGTAGAGGTGATTAAAACGGTCAATTCCTTCAGTGTTAAAACAAAAAATACCGCTACTAAAAATAATCGACGATGAGATTGAAGGAGTTGTATCGTAAAGTTCCGAACAAAAAACTTCGTCCTTTGTACAAAAGATATTAGTGGTTGCAACTGCGTTGAAACTTCAAAACGTTGACAGCGAAAATCCGATAATGCATTGTGTCGAAATAACCAGATTCATTGTCCTGACGTGCAGCGAATTTGTTTTTGTTGAACCAAATCGAAAGACTTATAATATAAACAAACAACATATTTTAGAATTTCCTGTTATTTTTGACGGTTATATTTTTCTTATTTTGTGGGAAAACAATTTTCTATAAACTCGAGAGTACAATATAATATTTAATTTTGCACGATTTTACAAAAAAATAGGTTTCATAAAAGAAACAGTTTCGAGCCACTCTTCATTAGCTGCAATTAAAATCAAATCCTTTGAAGAAGAGATTGCAGTTTTATCTTTTGTGAAACTGTTTTTTGTCGTGGTAAAGCGTATTAAAAAAAACATTTGATTTTAAACGAGACGTATTAGTGGTTGCAACCGTGTTGAAATTTCAAACGCTTAAACCAAAAAGCCGATGATAATAGATTGTGTCGTAATAACCAGATTCATTTATCTGGCCTTCGCTGACATTTTTTTGAAATGAAATCAGATATTACGATGTAAAAGACCCCTTTTGATTATTATGAATAAACTTTAATGCCTATACCTTTGGGGCGAGTTACAAAACATTAACACCATTGAGGAAAAAATACGAATTTATACAATATAAGTAAAGAATACAAAAATAGTTCAATTAAGAAAAATTATCGTTTAATCGAGATAAATAGCTATTTTGATGTGATAATTGAGCTATTTGATGTTCTGAGCAATATTTTCATAATTTTAATACAAAACTCCCCTGTGAAAAAAAATGAGTTTTAAAAGTGATTAAAGAAAAATAAAAGTTTGAATAATTGAGCAGCATATTGTTTTATTAGTAAATCTAAGACACTAAGACATTGTGTAAAAAATCCCCGAGAGTTTTAAAAGTGATTAAACAAAAATAAAACAGATTTGCGGATTTAATTAAATTAAATAGTTATTTCGGTTTCAATAACTGGACTGTTTGATGTTTTTATCAATATATTCATAGTATTAATACAAAACTTCACTGAGAATATGACGCATATTGTTTTATTAGTAAATTTAAGACACTAAGATCTTGTGTAAAAAATCCCCCGAGTTTTAAAAGTGATTAAACAAAAATAAAACAGATTTGCGGATTTAATTAAATTAAATAGTCATTTCGGTTTGAATAATTGGGCTGTTTGATGTTTTTATCAATATACTCATAATATTAATACAAAACTTCACTGAGAATATGACGCATATTGTTTTATTAGTAAATCTAAGACACTAAGACCTTGTGTAAAAAATCCCCTGGGTTTTAAAAGTGATTAAACAAAAATAAAACAGATTTGCGGATTTAATTAAATTAAATAGTTATTTCGGTTTGAATAATTGGGTTGTTTGATGTTTTCATCAATATATTCATAATATTAATACAAAACTTCACTGAGAATATGACGCATATTGTTTTATTAGTAAATCTAAGATACTAAGACCTTGTGTAAAAAATCCCCTGGGTTTTAAAAGTGATTAAACAAAAATAAAACAGGTTTGCGGATTTAATTAAATTAAACAGTTATTTCGGTTTGAATAATTGGGCTGTTTGATGTTTTTATCAATATACTCATAATATTAATACAAAACTTCACTGAGAATATGACGCATATTGTTTTATTAGTAAATTTAAGACACTAAGACCTTGTGTAAAAAATTCCCCGAGTTTTAAAAGTGATTAAACAAAAATAAAACAGATTTGCGGATTTAATTAAATTAAATAGTTATTTCGGTTTGAATAATTGGGCTGTTTGATGTTTTTATCAATATACTCATAATATTAATACAAAACTTCACTGAGAATATGACGCATATTGTTTTATTAGTAAATCTAAGACACTAAGACCTTGTGTAAAAAATCCCCTGGCTTTTAAAAGTGATTAAACAAAAATAAAACAGATTTGCGGATTTAATTAAATTAAATAGTTATTTCGGTTTGAATAATTGGGTTGTTTGATGTTTTTATCAAAATATTCATAATATTAATACAAAACTTCACCGAGAATATGACGGATATTGTTTTATTAGCAAATCTAAGACCCTAAAATCATGTGTAAAAAAGTCCTGTGGTTTTAGAAGTGATTAAACAAAAATAAAACAGATTTGCCGATTTAATCAAGTGAAGTAGTTATTTCGGTTTGAATAATTGAGCTGTTTGACATTTTTATCAATATATATACAAAGGTTCACCGACAATATTATTTATATTGGTTTATTTTTTGTTTAAATTTGAATATGATTTTACGAAATTGTGACAGCATTAATTATAAATGCGTCACACGCATTTCGCGATAATAAAACAATCATATTCTTCACTCGCCATAGAAATTATTACGTTAAAATATGACAAGAAAATTTTAGCTTTATTGTCCAAGTTTCTAACCGAATATTCGCCTCAGCTTATGTACTAAACGCAATCAGTTTGCTGTGCAACATTATCCAATTTCATAAAACCCGGTTTAGCTATTAGACGTGCAGAAAGCTCAGATTAAATGGCGTATATTGTCCATTGAAATGGATACCGATTAAAGCTATTATGAAAACAATCGTGGAAATATTAAAACGAACTTACAATATATGTATCAAGCTCACCCATGTGCTAGGACATTTAAAAAAAACTTTTTAGGGAAAAAGTTTGCCACGACTCCATTAAAAGTACTCAAAAGTAAGTATAAATGTTACCGTAAGAGATAAAATTGCTTTTTAGGTTGACTGGAGACGCCATGGAAGATATAAGTAAATAAATCTTATTTTTATTACATTTAAAGAAAAATAAAGACCTTCAAGTGACAATCGATATATAATAAAAGTTAATAATAAATTACAATAGTTTTTAAAATCGTATACTGTTGTTAAATTAAAAGACAAAATGAAAAATAACGACGAAACTATTTTGGAAATATTGCAAGGGCACAAAACTAGCAAATGGCCTAGCGCCAAACTTGTCAAGATTTTTATTTCAAGTAGCAAAGAAGGTAAGAACAACTACCTTAATAATAATACAAAATATAGTACATTTCTTTTAAACAAAATGTCGAAACTTAATTTAGAAGAAACATCGTTACACAAATCCTCACGATAAAGATCAGCTTGGATGTTTTTAATTTAGAATGTGAATTATTAAAGGAAAAGAAATTGGTTTTAAGCCTTAACACCAGCTGTAATTTTAGTCCCGCGGAAGAGAGTAATGAATTTATGTTTATTTTAAGTTGTTTTTCCATTTATTTCTTTGTTAATCCACTGGTGGGAACGAGATAAACAAAGACACGCATTTATTTAGCAACACGAGATCCGATGAAATTGGTCTAAATAACAAAACTAATCCAGACCTGTACATACATTCAAATTAGTTTTTTAATTGTTTAAATACACTTTCTTCAAAACTTCTGGAAAATTTACTTTTTAAAATAACGCGTTAATAAATTCCGTAATGAAAAAATGAGTGGCGTTCTTTTTTAAAAAACCATCCCGGGAGACTATGACACAAGGGACATTTATAAAAGATATATGTAAATCAATTCGGTTTTTGATGGGAATACAAAGCGCAGATTTCAACAGAAGGTGGCTTGGTTGGAAACTTCAATGTTAATTTTGAAATGTCTCCATATTTCAGCCAAAAAAAGCTCCTGGGGCCTCGAAGTTTTGACTTTATGGAGCAGGGAAAATGTATGGCAAAAAAGTTGCGTGAAACCACAGTCAATAAGACTGAATTTATTCTGTATTAAAATAGAATTCGTTATGTACAGGTTTTGATAATTATTATTATTAACAAACCGGGAAAGTTTCGATTTAGTTTTCTCTAAAAGAAAAGAAAGCACCTACAGGTTTATTAGGAAAGGATTTGTGTATTTACGTTTCCCGAAGAAATATACTATTGACCAAGTTCAAAACATCTAAAAAAACGTTTTTCGTATTTTTTAGATTTTGTTAACGAGAGACGAATACTTTTAGAAAATATAGGACCTGAATTACATTCAGTATTTGAAGATCATCAGATTGAGGCAAGTATCTATCTCTATCTATTTTTTTCCTACGTTTATTTATCATAATTTTCGTTAATATGATACACATATTATAATGTATGCATATGCTTCTTCTATGACTCGGTCGTTAAAAAAATATACATTATAAAAGACCTAATTTATTTACATGAATGTCTAGTAAAAGAAACTGTTTTATTAGGGATAGTACGAGTAAACACCCTTGGGAGTAATTAACTCAAGGGCAAAAGAGTAATTATATTAGTAGTGGACATCTTTTATGACGTAAAATAGGGTCAAAACCATTACAGTACGAGAGCTGTATACAACGGTCTTCGATATATTCAGGCTTATAAAGAGTTATATCAAAAAATCAGCTGTCATGTCAACAACCATCCCAAATTAAACCTGAAACCAATGGATTTTTTGTTCGCTTGTTAATTACTTTTTCCGACAACATCTCAATTATAGAATTTAATCAATAAATTTGAAAATCCCAAACGAAAAATAAAAATATTGCTTATAAAATGAGCTAATTTTAAATTACAAGAGAAACATAAATTAAATATATTGAAATGCGTTTTTGTTATCTATTTTAGGTAGAATTAGTTGATATGCATTATGGTTCTGATGAAAGAGAATTGTATGATCCTTGGATTTTCAAAGATCATTTACAAGAGATCCGAAATTGTCATAAAATATCTAGGGGTTGTTTCTTTCTGGTAAGTAATGTATTTTTAAAATAAATAAATATTTCACAGAATCGTGGCATACATGTTGGAGGACAATCCTATCGATACATGTGCGTGATATAGTCTATTCTATTCACTGCTGGCTCTAGATTATAGATAATTTGTTGACAGAAATTTACCTAGGCCATTGAACGCAAAAAAAAGAGTTTAGTATAATTCTTGAGTAAAAATATACAAAGAATACTAGAGACTACAAAGAATACTTAAATAGACTTGGTATTAGTTGGGCATCTTATGAAAAGGGTCGTCACCTTTGATTCTATCTGGATTTCTATCTACTTTAGGTTGACATTAATTTACTTGAGAAAATTAGTAATTTTAAATCATCTTGATTAAGTTACGTGATATCTTAAATGAATTTATTGTAGGCAAATATAGCAAGAAACACGATAAGCAACAAAGTATTTACCGTCCTTTAAGCGACTGTCAACAATCGATTTAACTTTCCACCAAGTTATTAGTAAAAACGAGTCCATTCTTATTCTGAAATGAAAGGCCAAAACTTTTTAAGCGAACTTCTGCACGCAAAATGACACGGCACGCTTTTAATAGATTCCTGGAACTTCGGAAATTCAATAAAATTTTAATATGTTATTTGACTTGTAAGGATAAGAATTTCTGACGATTCCTTTAAACTTCAACCGAAGTAATACACCTTAAAGTCGTTTATCGTTAAGAAGCTAAGCAATTAAAAAAAAACTCTATAAATAAAATATTGTTTTTCAGAGTTTGGTTGGAGATAAATATGGTCCCTTAATCGTTCCTGAAAAGTTTGACAAAGACATATTTTTGTCACTATCAAACGTAGCACAAGACCTAGGCCATAATTTTGAGTTATTAGAAAGACTCTACCTTAAAAGGAACGAAGAATATGTATTATCTGACATTAGGTATTTAATTTTTCATTTAATTTCATTTTAGTAGTAGGCAAAGAGGAAATTTAGTGCGATACGAGATTGAACGTAATACAGGTTTTGTTGGGTTCGCCCCCAAGTCTAAAAACAAAAGGCGGCTCTTTGTCAAAACAATGGAAAGCCCTGCTAGGTGCCGCTCTATGGCAACCGAACAATAAGCTGTCATTTATTTAAATTAGAGCAGCGCGACCCTGCAAAAATGTTTGCCTTATCTATTAACTTTCACGGAATTTTCGCATGTCGGAAAACACATTCATTTTCATATAGTCGCCCTTCAACTTGTACCGCATTCAATATCTAAAGCGTCTAAATTAAAATTTACACGTGCACGTATCCCTAAAGCATCCAAGGCCTCTGTTATTCCTATTAAAAATATAATTTTGACGATTTATTAGAATGGCTTTTAATTCTTTATAAAACAACCAACCAAGAAAGTTTTTACATCTGCTTTTAGGTGTTTTTCAAAACTGTAATCTATATTTTTATAATTTATTTTTAGAGATATGAACTCAGAAGAATGGAAAACTCAATCGTCGGAAATATTAAACCTCATACACGCATGCATGGAAAGAATGGCCGATACATCTCGAAAAAAAGTAGGCCAGATCCTACATTCGATTGTCGAACAGCAGCTGGATTATGCCTTGGGTAGGTATAGAGTGTTTTGTCAATTGGGTTCTTGATTGTCCTGTCAAAAAAGAAAATAAGAGGATTTGCCTTGTGTCGGAAACTAGAAACAATTCCCAACCTAACATCTGGGGCTGTAACCATCCCCTGCACAAGACAGTTTATTCTAAAACACTAAAAAATATCTCTAATTATTTTTAAATTGTGTTAACTCTTACTTTGTTCATGTCCAATTCACTTGATATCAACAAAGGTATACTTAACAAATAAACAGTACACGTGTTTGAAATTAGTAATTTTAGAACTAAGTATTAAATCGCCGTTGTATAAATACCGATTAAAATACAGGGTGTCCCAGATATAAGTGCAAGTATTTTAAAGGGAGTTATTATTATTATTTTAAGGGGATTTTTTTTATCTGGCCGAAAGAAACATCTTTTCTCTTAACAATTTTTAAAATAAATTAATAATAGCCGAGTTATTTAACTTTGAAGCAATTACCAGAATCTCAGCTTGTTCGACGCCCAGTGTTGATATATCGGCTAGAATGATATAAAAACGACTTTGAAAATTCAGATTAATAGTAAAAAACTTCTTTTTATCACTTTAGTTAAAACCTCAACTCTACACTTATCAACACTTCATTTCACTGCGATTCTTGACAGCACTATTTTGACACAAAATACATTCATATGCCTTCTGAATTATTTAGGATTATTTTTTGAGAATTTAAGCCCCTCTGTTTGGTTTGGATATTTCTATTTGAATAATAAAAATTTTACAGGCTTATCTTACATTTCTCTATTTAGTTTTTTCAGAAGTATACTGTTTTGAGTAAAATCTCAAATGAATTGGATACCCTAAAAATGCTGATCTGTTTAAATGTAGGTCAGACGTTTACATAAACGTCGACTATTTACATATCTAATAGAGGGCGCTGATTCTGAACTGTTGAAAAGCTGCTATAATTGTAATTGTAAATTGGTTTCATTATTTCAATTTACTAAATTGTAAAAAAGGCATTTAAATACAGTAGACGTTGTACTATACTTAATAGTATCTACAATTATTAAAAAAATTACAGTGAATAAAACTAAGTTAAGTTAGGTTAGGTTAGGAGGAATTTAAAAATGTGAACTTCTTATATACATACAGAATGTGGATAAGGTGGCAACATTGCATTCTCTCGAATAAGCGGCACTCTAAAGTTTTTCAATATTTTCCGGAAAACGTCAAAAAATATAAAAATTTCAACATTTTTTTCTCGCAAAAAAACTGGACCCCAGGAACGGTCAAACTATACTACCAGTAAAAAAGTACTTGCACTTATTTGTGGGACACCCTGTTTAGCGGTATTTCCAGCTGAATGGATAATTACCTGGAATGGAACTTTGATGTTCCGTCGTTACACAATATGTCTTAACATCTCTCACTGGCACTCAATGTCCTATTAAATAATGCTTCTAAAATAATAAATTGATAATATACACACTGTAAAGTCTCCCGCTAGCAGATAACAGTTTAGCCATTAAAAGTTTTAATACTATCTAGAACCAACACGCTTAAAAAATAAGCAGTTAATTTAATTATAATATGCTAGATAAAACTGCATAAAATACAGCAATAAATTTTAAGATAATAATTGTTAAATTCAAATAGAAGTTTCGAAATATGAAACTTTAGTAATCTTATCCCAAGACAATATGTTTTATTTGTTCCTAATAAATTAATGTTTAACTAAAACAAAAAAGATTTTGCTGTTTCATCAAGAGGCATACTTCTACTCTCAACTTCCATTAAGAGCTTATTAATTCATATTTCAGTACATGCCGTTAAATAATACAATATTAATTATTATGTCCTAAGCTTTACATTTGAATGCTTAACGATATTGCATTTTGTTTAATTAATTTAAGTATATTAATTACAAATCTTGGTTAAGCGCTTAAATATTAAAGGAAAATAAAGGGATTTAGTAAGCTTTTATTAAAAAATTTAACAGCAATGACTGGAGCTTATATAACATCCGATATTAACCAGTAAACATTTTATACCTTCGGCTTTTGCCTTTGTTCATCACAAAGACCAGTCTTTACTTATATAAAACTATACTGTCATCATTTTCATCACCTTAAATTGATACTTATTAATATTTTGTTATAACTCTGGAGGATACGATTCAAATTTCTTTATTAATGCTTTATTCAGACCTCTAAAAGTTAATAGAAATAAATTTACATATAAAAAAATAATTTTAAGCCGGTTTCAGAGTGTATAATCCCTTAAAATAGCTACCAAGATGGAATCTAGGGATAAATCTGTTTTATAATTAAACCTCATAAGTACTTCCAGGGTATAAACAATTACAATACACATCAGCGTTTCAAAATGAACAGATAATCAGATAATTACTTGGAATAGAGCTTAAGGTTCCAGATAATATGCTTTAAACATATCCTCTACAAATAGCTATTATCCTAATGATCCTATTCTAATCTTCATTTAATCGTGCGTATAGCATTTCAACAAAGACCTATGTGTTGAGGAACGCTGTACGCTGTCAGTATATATCTGACACAATCCTAAAATTTACTTATATATATTGAGTTTTGACAAAAAATCTCCTTAATGTTCGTCTGGTTGAACCTCTTTTAAAAATTCATTTGTTTGACCGCAATAACGGTAAATTTAGCATTCGACTCTTAATGTCCTACAGAATAAAGAAAAAAACATAATGGTTTCCAAGATAATAGTTTTTACAAGAAATTTCATTTTCTTGCGGTCTTTTCTGCGGTCTAGGAACTTTAGAGAACGGAATTATTAAAAGAAACTAATCCCCAAAAGTAACGAATTCTTCAAGATGCGAAGGCCTTGATTAAAAATACATTACAGAACAATCCAATAATAAGTTTTGTTTTTTCAACATAAAGAAGTTTATATTTGAATGACATTGTACTTTCAAAAAGTACTTTTACTCTACTATTTTTCTTTGAATCATTAATTGCAAAGAGCAGCTTAGCACAAGTAACAACAAGTATTAACAGATATTTATTTCACAAATAAGAAGCTTTGTACAATACAAAGCCTTAATTTCAATTTGCCAACCGTGTAAACGAATATCTTCGTTAAGGTTATGTGCTCTGAAGTTAGTTACGATGTTTTTGGGCCTCGGCTGGCTTGCTAGAGATTAAAGCAGTGTAGAAATCAACCTACATCCGCTTATTACAATGAGAGAACAACTGGTTTTCAGTATCAATTTTCTGCCTTTACTATTTTCCTCATTTTTTGCTGAAATTTTAAATATCTTGTAACACTAAAGGTTTTACAGTATTTATCGCTTTGAATGTATAATCAGTAAATACGTTAATACACAATGAGCAGTAAGCCATCACATAATTAGAATTAGATACGAAATTTCCGTAATGTAAACCGCAGGCAGCAATGTTTCTGACTGGATAGGTAATCATGTAGAATTGGGCTTTCATGCTTTGTTATTAAACATATATGTTGTAACATATCTGCCACAAATAGCCAATATTCAATTAGAAACAGAACCATTTACGAATTCCTGTATTAATTACTTCCTGATTATCAACGATAAATGTTTCAATGTTTAGATTTATAGTTTGCATTACCTTCACTTTAGCATAGACTTTAATATTTTTTAAAAAGGTTTTAAGTATAGAAGTGCAAAAACTAATCTATATCTACCAATACATGTATTTTGTGGTCTTTCGACACTCCTATTCAATTCAAAGATCATTAATTCACATTTGAGTCGATACATTCAAAGTAACAAATTATTAATGGCAAGCTGGAATGTTTTGTTTGTCTAGAACTGCGTAATAGCGTGACCATAGGCGGTTCAGGGCTGATTTTTTCGCGACCAGTAAATTAGAGGGCAAAAAATGGCGCGACTTTGCACTCGAGTTCCGTTTTCTATTGATTCTTTTCAGCACAACTTTTTGTTAATTACAGACCGTGCTGACAACCGGCGAAAAAGACTATGCGAGACTTAATTGGATGATTTAGTACGGCTAACGCAGACCAGATCAATATTTCACACCACAGGTTCTCATAAAAATGGGGACGAATTCTTTGCGCTTCCACGGGATGTTTTAATTCTTGCTGGACTACACTCAATTTTATGCTAAAAAGGTGCACGTCTAATTATAGAAATATGATTTATTTCGCTTAAGGAGTCATCAACTGTGTGAAAAATTTTGAGAGAGATGTAAGTTTGTCAATGGCTGACACTTCCATAATTTTATGTTTGATAATATTTCCATAATATATGTATATATCTACTATTTGCCTAGAATGTAAAATGTATGAGAGGAGTTAATCACCGCGACCTTACAAATCTATTGTATCCCCCTTTCTTGAGTTATAACTCATCATACAGTCTCAGGGTTTTACAGAGATTAGTTCTCCATATCGGTCGTACCAAAGTTCATTGCACGAATGGTTGTCGTCTCGGTGCACTCAGTGAAGAGGTATTCTGGTGTTTCCCCATGTTCCCCACAAAATCTGCATTCGCCGTTGTTTCTTAGCTTCCATCTACTGAGGTATTCGTTGAGGAGACAGTGTCTTGTGAAAATCCGAAGATTCTTCTTACTTGACTCAAGGAAAATGTTTGATTTTTTTTGTGTGATGAATTCTGAGAAATGTCTTCGGGTGTCTTAGACCGTTGGAGGATTCCCATTCCAGGTTACAGATGGAGTCTTCCAGGTTCTTAAGTTCCGCTTTAAGTTGGTTTCCACTGAAGAAGCAGAACGGTTCTTCTTTTCTAGCTAGATCGTTTCCTTGCCTTCTATCTCTCTAGAGTAGGAGGATGTTATTATTATCTTTGTCTAATTTGTTCAGCTTGTCTATGCATTCTTTACCCAACTTCGAATTGATGGTTACTGAGTTGGTCGCTTTTAATGCTGCTTGACTATCGGATAAAATGGCTATTTCCTTATTACTATTTTTCTAAGAGCTTTTAAAACAGGCAAAAATAGACAAAAAAGACAATTATTCGATACATAACATAGTTATGACAATTGTCAATTTTGGTCAGTTAGTTCACTGTCACAACATACGTATACATGATTCCCACATTATAATAACTATTTAAAATAATTTCTTTTCAACAACCCATTGTACCTTTACCTGGATATTAAATAACATTTTTATGAAAAATGATAATCATAAATTATGCCTGAAGTTCCGGACAGAGCTTAGTATTCTCGAGACAAGTAATATGCTTAAGTGACACTTAAAGTTTAACCAACGCTTTCAACTTCCAAAACCTATTTCTAACATTCCTATTACCTAACCAGTTCACACTTTGAATAGCTAAAGTACTACTTGCGGTAAATCTTTCCATTAAAAGTTGAGAAGTGGCTAATTTTAGTTTAAATTCTTTATAGAAATGTATCCAAGTCTGTATGATTTAACAGGAGAGACAACAAATAAAAAATGCTTGGTTTTAAAGGCAGATATGCCACTTCGTGAGACCAAAGATCTACATGAGAATATTTAAACACAAAATGATTTAAGTTTTAAAACGTTTGTAAGTGTTATTTGATATAAATATAGTCAAATTAATAAATAAACATTTATCTAAAATTACAGATTGAATAATTAGGTTACTATTAAACTATATTTGAAATTTAGCCTTAGCACTAATAAATAACAATAAACAATACGATCGCTCGATGAGTTGATGTAATTATTATACTCAGCAAAATTAAATGGGAATACTGCTAAATTAACTTTTGTTGTACTTGTTATTATAAACCAGCATAATACATATTCAATAATTTTAGTAACACTTTAGAAAATATGGTACACACAGGGTGAGTTTTTTAAATAAGTGCAAATATTTTCAGAGCCTGGTAAAAGATCTAGATAAAAAAAAACATATTTTCTCTTTACAGTTTTTCAAATAGGTCCAAAATAATCGAGTTATTTTACTTTGAAAATTTGCAAAAAAAAATTTTTGCTTAAATTTTGAGAATCACTGGATCTTTCCTAGGTTTTCTTTCTTGTAAATTTAATCTACTAGCTATAATGTCATATTATCAAGAAATTATGTTTTTTAACTAAAAACTAAAAAAAGTCCAAATTTTCATTGTTTTTTTTGGTGATAAGAACCTCATAATCGTTTTTCTGAGGTTTCTGCAACCAAACTAAATATACTATCCCTGAAAAAATTGCAGTTATTTAAGACTCACCCTATATAGTTCGGTTTATTTATATCTTGTTAACAATGTCTAACAAAATCCACGAATGTGTTAGGGTTTAAATACTAAATGTAATTAGCAAATATAAGTAATGCCGCACAAACGACTCCAAATTGATGAAGGCGTTTACAGAGCTTAATAGTTTTATTTACTATAAAATGTTAATCTCTTTCAAACAGTTGTTAAACTAACACGTTAACTATACCTTTCGCTTACATAGCTATCAATATTTAATTTGTTTTGTATCCATGCTTAAAGCATGTTTTCCAGTTTATGGTATTTATTAGTTGATGGAATAAAGTATACTTTATAACAACAGACATTGAGAGAGAAAAAATGTCATTAAAAAGTAAAAGCATCTGCTTATATTTTCTTTATTTGAACTGAAGGATTCCTTTGATGTTGGATTTTTTCGTTTATTATATTTAATCTTCTTTTCGTAAATTTGACTTCTTTCAAATAACTCTCTCTTTTTGAAAGATTTTACGTCAAAAGTACACGATGTTCCATTTTATCATAGAATTTTCGTCATCAAAGAAATGGCTCGGTGATTATGTTACTAAAATATCAGAATCGAGAGTTTATCTTTACGTTTTGTTATAGGGCTGGCTCCAGGCACAGCTTACCATGTTATAAATGTTACTAGGGAGTATGAGAGTGAAAATTCTAGCGAGAAATACGATTTTTATAAGGTAAATTTTGTTAGTAACACTAAAAGTGCAGTTTTCAGGTTATTTTCGTTTTATTTCAGAATAAAATGCAATATTCCGATGAAGTAAGGAGCTACTGTCAATCACAGCTGCGGGCCTTCAGATCTCACATAAAAAATATCATACCCGAAGAAAATAGGTTGTGTTTCCAGTAAGTCTTGTCTAACAAAACTAAAATTAAGTCTTATACACGTCCGTTTCAGCGTGCCGTGGAAAGATGGTGAGTTAGATCACAGCGAGCCTGATCACGAATCATATCTAAACAAATTTAAGAACAGCGTGTTTCATAAAATCAAAGCAATGATCAGTAAGAGTTTAGAAGACGACCCCGAGTTAAAATCAAAGAAAAAAATCGTTGAAGTAAGTATCTCTATCAGTTATTTTTAATAATATATCGTTAAGTCTCTCAGTTAAGTCTTTAATTCCTCCTTTAACGCATTAACAAAGTTACCTTAAACTTCACGTTAGTTTATACATTACTTACATCCCCCTTCGCATCAATTTGTAATTAATCGGATTATAAGGATATCTAATTTTCTCCATGAGAGCTAACAAAATACGCCACGTTTGGTTAAGCTATTTAATAAAACATATAAGTGTGAAAATTCGAAATAAAATTTTGGGAAAAAGAAAATTTCACGTTATCTCTGCACAGTTTTGATTATAGCCAAACCCCAGAGAAAAAACCTCCCTTGAGTCCTATTTCTACCCTTTAACAGGCTTCATGGTTAAATTCTTTCTGCCTTGGGACAGGGTAAGTACAGTCAGAAAGCAGGCAAGTCGTTACTATAAAAGATAAGTAACTTTTATTAAGAAAAAAATGTTATCTAAGAAATCTATTTTAATGATTTAATAAAGCACCATCAGTAAAGTGAGATTTCAAAATATTAGCCCTTAGTTGGTAATATAGAAATCTCTGTAGCTCGACATGTAAACAATTTACAATAATACAGTTACAAATCTAAACATAGGGTAAATAGTTCGACAGAGGCTAGACACTTACGTAAGTAAATAGACTGGATCACGCGCCAATGGAAACTACTCTAACACACAAAATAAGTGAACAAAATAAAGCCTAATAAACTTTCTGTGGTGCTTATTATGTGTCTGTACTGTTTACCATGTAATTTATCTAGTGTAATAAGTTTGGTATAATTGCAATTTCAGCTATGATAAAAATTGTATATAACAAACAACTTAATTTATTTATAGCAAATTTTATGCTCTCTTCGCCTTTAAAGCTTTTTTTCTAGCAATATCTCTACCTCGCCTGAGAACCTTAACGATTATTTTGTAAATGTAGCGAAAAACTTAACTAATACCATATGTCCTCCTCATGATCCACTTTCTTATCTCTCTAATGATAATGTAAACTTACACAGTTTCTTTTTTTCGCCCGTAGTTCTTGAAGAGCTTCGCAGTACAATTAATACATCAAAAATAAATCCTTTTCTGGGGACCGACGGGCTAACTTTAAAAATGTTTTCGAATCTGCCAGAAAGCACTCTGAATCACCTAACAACTTTAATAAACATGTCGTTCCAAAATGGTATTTTTCCAAAATGTCTTAAGACGGCAATAATCATTCCACTGCACAAAGGAGGAGACAAAGATGAAGCTTCTAACTATCGCCCAATTGCACTCCTTCCAACGCTATCTAAGATCATAGAAAGGTTGGTTAAAAGAAGGCTGGTATCTTTTGGAAGGCTTTTCTGTTTAAGTACAAAATACTTACTGAATATCAATTTGGATTTCGAAGCAACAAGTCCACAAATGACGCTATGTTTTCCCTGCTTAATAATGTTTACTCCAGCCTAAACAACCATCATTCTACAGCAACAATTTTCTGTGATTTTTCTAAGGCGTTCGATTGTGTAAATCATAAGATCTTAATTAATAAACTGCAGCACTGTGGGTTCAGGGGATCATCTCTCGAATCGTTTAAGTCGTATCTGAGCGACAGAAGTCAACTTGTGAGGGTGGATACCACGTTGTCTTCTAGCAAGCCAATAGAATGTGGAGTACCACAAGGCCCAGTACTAGGCCCTATTTTGTTTCTTCTTTTTATTAACGACATTGCTAACATAAACATCAGTGGCAAAATATGTCTTTTTGCGGATGACACTAGCTTCACTTGGAACAACAAGGACATCACGGCACTTCATAGGATTATATCAAATGACTTAATCACCATTAAATCTTGGTGCGATTCGAACCTCCTGACTCTCAACATTTCTAAAACTAAAGCTTTGTCGTATAAAAACTCGTTGCAGCCTTTTGTACTTAACAACACCACCATTGACGTCGTCAAATCTGTAAAGTTCTTGGGGCTTGTTGTGGACAATTCTCTGAAATGGGACATACATATCGAAGCTTTGTCAAAAAATTGAGCTCTGCCTGTTTTGCATTAAGGTACTGTTTCTAAGGAGCTTAACTTGTCAGTGGCTAGAACTGTTTATTATGCACTTTTTGAGTCGCACCTCAGGTATGCCCTTCCATTCTGGGGTACGTGTTGTGCGACTCAATTTGACCGCATTTTCAGGCTCCAGAAGAGAGCTGTTCTATATTCACTGGGACTAAACAGCAGAACTTTTTTAAAAAATTAAAAATATTGACTCTTCCTTCCTTATTTATATTTGAATCCATTTTCCTAATAGGTAAACATGTATCAGCTTCTCAAGGAAGGTCATCTCACACTTATCCACTCAGGAACGCGGAGCAAGATCTTTATCTACCTACCCCACGCTCAGAGTTAGTTAAAAGTTCAATACTATACAACTCGAAAAAAATGCACAATCACCTGCCATTTGAAATCAAATCCATAACACATTTTTTTCATTTCGCAAAGCATTGAACTCTTATTTACTAGACAAGGCTTTTATGCCGTAAATGAATTATATTTGAATTGAAAATCGAATTTGATCTTGAAAACACTGGTCTAATGTTTGCTATTGCTATATTTACTAATGACATCGAAATTGATTTATTTAGAGGTCATTGATATTTTGCTATAAACTGGCTAAATATTTTTGAATATTATTTTAATTTTTTTTGTTCTTTGACATTGTAAACATTTATGTATGTTTATTTTAACAATAAGACTGACAATATTATTTGTATAATGTTTTGTATTATCTTTTGTTTGTTTGTTTGTGTACCTTGTTTTTTTTACTTTGTTTCTTAGTTTACCTTTGTCCACAAATTGAAAAAATTTTTGACAATAAAGGCATTTATTTATAAAAAGAAGTAACAAATTGCCAAAAATTACTAGTTTTCGACCTTTTATCCGAAAATATAGAGCGTGTATGCTATTATTTTCTGTATTAATTAAGATATATATTAGTATTTCACCCTTTGGAAACTAGATTTAGATATTCAAATGTGTAGCGATAAAACAAACATTCGTTTAGTTTCTTTAATCAAGAACATTCACGAAAGATCGACTCTTTTGATAGTAACGCTCTCAAATTTTTTTATTTCCTAAAATAAATTTCTCTAAATGGAATATTTAACTGTTATTCAACAGAAATATGTATATCAGAAACATCATGTTTTCTGCATAACTCAGCTTGTTATTATAGCCATTTCATCATTTGTGCCTCGAATATTTTTTTGGGTTTAAAAATAGTATTTTCTTGCATTTCAGGAGAATTTCCAAGAAAACATTACACATTTAACACTGTGCTACGACGAAATCAAGACGGACTTTTCCCATTCCGAGCTGCACGACAAAATCAAACAGTTAATAGAGGACGGTAACCAGCGCAGGCACCCCCCAATTCTAATCTATGGTAATCAGGGTTCTGGAAAAACGTCCCTTATTCAAACGGTGTACCGCAGCTTCGAGCAGTGGTTCTCATGCCGAACGTTGAGGATCGTAAGATTTATCGCCAGCACCCCCCGATCCTCTTACAGCTTAGAACTCCTCAGAATTATCTGCCAGCAGATCTGCATCGCTCTTAAGTTACCCGAAGGGTTTTTGCCAAAGGACGCTAGCTTTGATCCGTTGTATACGAACAATTGGTTTCAAACTTTACTGAGAACTTTCGAGGAGCTGAATTTCGTTCTGGGAATTTTTTTGGACGACTTGCACCTGATAAATCCTCTAGATTCCGACATGATGTCCACCCTGAGCTGGTTACCTATCAGTCTACCCAAGAACGTTCACATAGTGTGCACGTCAGGCGTGCCAATCGATTTAATGAGACTAACTCAGGTTCAAAAAGATAAATTAAGACAGCCCGAGTGCTATATCGAAATGGCTCTAGCCCAGTCACATGTAGGTGAGTTAATTCCTTTTATCTTCTGGGAAATCGATACGAAACATTAGTTTTAATTAAGTAGAGGAAAAAAGACCTTTTGTAATTTGACATCTTCCTCGATTTGATTGTAATTAGATAAGTAATTAAAAAAATATGAAACTCCCAGGGGAACTCTCAGGATAAATTTACTTTGAATTAAGAAAACCCTCTTTTTTATTCATTTTAATGTTTAATGCGGATCTGAAGTTTAGCAATTGGCGAGATGTTCAATTTAAACTAACTATTGCTTGAATTTACTTGTACCTAATCGGACGTTATACTAGTAAATTTTATCATTTTAGAGTGTGTTAATAAGGCACTGGATAACTTGGAAAAATTATATGGCAAGGAGGCTATTTCCAGGTTGGCATCACTGATAACATGCTCCGAATATGGACTTACAGAAATCGAAATCTTAGAAATTCTGATGCCTACCTCTGACAGCGAAGCTATAATTTCCATAAAAGATGCTAAATTTAATTTTTCGTCTTTGTGCAGCGTTAAACAGAAATTGGGTAGGTAAATATTTTATTTAATATAAAGTATTTGTATATATTTAGAATGTTTTATTTCTTGGTATATCGTTCCATCATATTATGTGAACCACTAACGAACTACTTCGTAATATAGCAATGCTAAAATTTATTTTTTCAGTATATCTAGCTGAAAATAACTGTAAAAATGTTGTATGCGTAAAAATAATTAGTGTGTTTTTTTCTAGAATTATTAATAATAGACAGTGGTAAGATTAAAATATTAATACTTCGTAATTTCTGTAGAAATTTAAAATATCAGTCAATACAAATATGATGAATATTTATAATGTAGGAGGTGGCAACACTGCACAGTTTAGATACCTCAGAAATTTCAGGTGAATAAACAAGTGGTACTAAAAAGTTTTTTAAAATTTCCCGAAAAATGTCAAAAAAAATAGACGTGTTTCTGGTGTCGAAATATACTACCAGTTAAAATACTTGCTTGCACTTATTTCTGACACACCCTGTATAAGCACAGGGTATCACAAAAAACGTTAGTAAAGTACAAGTACAATACTGTAAATGCAACGTTGTGTCTATCTATTTGAAATAAATGAGGAAATATAAAAAACCACACTGTATTAAAATCGTTTTTGCCAATAAAGTTCGAATCCCGCGAGCTTTACACCTAAATTAACCTGAGTTTTAATTGAACACGTATAGATCGTTAAAAAATATTGTTTTCCTTAATTTTTCGTGCAAACGATTGGCGCAAAAAATCACAATTCCCGTGCTACATCGATAAAACAAACCAGTGATCAAATTGAATAACATTTCACTTAATGGACTTTGTATTGTGCGGTTTTTAAATCGTTATACAGGGTGAGTTGATAAGCAATATATTTTTAGGGCTGGTACATCTCGATAAAAGAAACATATTTGCTCTTTACCGTTTTTCAAAGAACTCCAAAATAACCGAGTTATTTTACTTAAAAATTTAATAAAAAAATATTTATTGGTTAAATTCTGAGAAGCTCTATATATTTTCTGTGTATTCTTTTTTGTGAATTTAATCTGCTACCTGTGTTGCCATATTAAGAAGATATAATTTTTAACTTATCTACCCCTAAAAATATTTGCACTTATTTAAGACTCACCCTGTATAATTCGAATTTCAGAAAATAAGTTATTAAGTTGGGCAAAGCAATTATTTCTGGTTAAATCAACCTACCGAACCGAAACATCACTTTTAAACATATGCACGGTTATTATGCATTTTATTACAATGCATTCAGAAAAGCTCTTTTATTATACCTCTAATATTCATGAAGTACGAGCCAGTTTATTTTTGTTTAAAATTTATTCCAGACATATCAAATTAGTTCTATAAATAACTTTCTAGGTCCAGAAAATTTATATTTAAACTATAAAATATGATATTTACTGTCTCTTTCCTTATGAAACTGTCATAAATACCTAGTTAAGTGCCCGTAGGTCAATGTAGGTTTCAAAATGAATTTAGCAAAAATTAAAGTAATATACACTGTACAACGAACTAGTAGACTGAATAGACATTCTAAGATGACCTAGAAGAAGACCAAACCTCAGATGGGACCATATTAGAAAACTAGCAGGGATAACTTGGGCCCACATAATAAAAATAGCAAATGGGCCCCTATTTCAAAGGGAGTATCTAAATATGGGAGGGAGGCTACACCATAATTGGAAATGGTTGAATAAGCTAAAAACAATGATGATAAAATTTTGTGTAATTTTAGCTACAAATCTAAATTTTATATCTAAAGAAGAGCGTATTTTAATTGAACCTCCACATGGCTCCGTGCCATTAAAATCTCATCGATTTGTTAATTTATCATTTTTAATACGAGTAATTCAAATTTAGCCCCACAGAAGCCATAAACGTAGAAGGCATTTGATTCATTTATTGTCTTTAAACGGTTTGAAAAACAGACATTTTATCTTTCGCGGTTTGATCAAGCCCTTAAAGATTTTTAAAGCTATTAAACCGAAATTTTCGTATTCAAAGTATTATAAGCATAAGAGAAGGTCGAAAATCGAAATTTTAAAAAGGCTGTGATTTAAAATTCTCTAAGAAAGACACAGAAAGCAGAGCTGTTCTCTTTGAGTTCGAAAGTGAAGTGCAAATTATTTACCATACCACTTAAAACTCTAAGTAGAAGTTAACCTGAATAATAGAATCACGACATTAAAAATCGCCATTTAAAATACTTTTTTTTCTATTTACAGGGTTGCCAAAAAGATTTTTTTGATTTTCATAGAAAACATTATTTAAATCGGATTTCCAAATAACTGAGACTTTTTTCAAATTAAAGACCTATCCTAATTAATTGGCTAAATTTTCGTAATTCTGCCCGATACCGATAACATTAACAATCCTACGGCGCGTGTCACTTTTCCACATCGTCACCAATATTTTTTGCAAAAAAGTCGCCCGCTTCAGATTAAAAAGATTTTTTTTTCCAAATGTCACAAAAGAATTATTTTGTCATTTTTAGATACAGATATTAAAATCACATAGATATACAAATTATTATTTTTAAATCACTCGAATAAAATAAAAAAAATCACTTGATTTAAATCATGCCAATCCTGCTATTTACTAATACCAACACTCTGAAATTGATGAATATTTGCTTAAAGGTGGACACACAGGTTACAATTTATCTTAATTGATGCAAAAATTATGTTTGTTGCATTTATGCTCCTATATTTCGAAAAATATGTCTCTGGAATTGTTGCGGTCCCTCCGAGGCGTTATAATAATTTTATGTCAGATCCTAAATATAACCTATTAGTTACTGTCCTGGAAGTACAGAATGATAAAACTCCTTCCAGATGAACCTAGTAAAAACTAAGAGAATATTCCTTTGTCACTTCAAGTGTACGAGCTCGCCATAACGTTATGATTTATGGTGGTTACTTGGAGAATAGCAGAATAAAAAAATGACAAACGGTTAACGTAGTTTGATATATTATTTCCGGTATAGCCTTGTAGAAATTTTCAATTTTCATAAAAAATATGTTAACATTTATAGAAAAAAAAACTTTTTTCTAGTGTTTTTATCCCATAACAATGGGTGATATGAATAAAATTAAGTTCGTACTTTTTGCTTAAACTTTTGTACCAGGTACTTCATTTGGTATGAATAAAATGATGGAGAAGATGCTAAATTATAGAGCATCTGCTCTAATTTTAAGTATCTACTCAACAGCGAGTACCTACTTTAATTTTAGTATGAATAAAATTGAGCACATACTAAAAAGTGAAGCAGATACTCACATTATTTTAAGGTACCTCTGTGGGATGCTTAGAATCAATAATACTCCTGCATTTGTAAGTGATGGCCGAATTTATGCCCATTGCTCGTGCACGAAAATATTATAAATTTCGAAGAAACTGTCGAGATGTTGATTATCGGGGGTTTTGTATAGATTTAACAGAAATAGCGTCAAAATAAAAACACTAAATCACCACAATACACCAAAACACTTTTACTTTTACACTGGACGCGCGTTTCGCTAACCATGTTAGCATCATCAGCAGATGATTATAAACTAAAGTACAATCTACAAGTTGAGCGTTTATATACTCGCCCAGTGGGCACCGAGTGGGCGTGGCAAAAACTAGCCAACCGAGTCAGAGCCAACTGAGCGTAACAGTTAGATTTCCGCCACTAGAGTAGTAGGAAGGAAAAAAGAACTTGAAGGAATTGGACCGTTGTCTCTGTTCATACTATCTTTACATTTATTAATTCTGATGCTTTCATATGCATCTAATTGCCTGTAATTTGAGACTTGTTTAATTAATTTTAAATTATTAAGATCTATACAATGTTCTTTATGAACAATATGTTCGGCAACGCAAGATTTATCCGGTTTACCATATCTTATCTGAGCTAAATGTTCTTTAAATCTAGTTAATATTGATTTTCTAGTTTGCCCAACATATTTCTGATTACAATCTTTACAAGAAATTTCATAAATACCCGACCTTTCCAGTGGAGGTGTTTTATCCTTTGGATTACCTAATAATTGTTGTAATTTATTATTAGCACTATACACAAGTTTATAATTTACATTCTTCAAAATTCCTTTTAGACCACGGGATAACTCTCTATCAAACGGCATCGAAAAATATTTAGACGTGTCTTTCTCCACTTGAAAAGTCGAATTTTCAGAAATCATTAACCTATACCTACGTTTTCTAATTAATTTATCAACTAGTGAAGGAGAATATCCATTACACTCAGCTACATTCCTAATGTAATCTCTTTCTATTTCATATCTTTCTTTGGAAAGTGGGAAACTAAGTTATCTATGAACTAGGAAATTTAAACTAGCCATTTTATGTTCAACACTATGATGTGATTCATTAGGAATATATCTGCGTGTGGTCGTATTTTTCCTATAGATATTAAATTCCAGGCAATTATTAATATTTCTAATAACTCATACATCTAGAATGGTAATCTGTCGTAACGTAAGTGCCCATTGCTCGTGCACGAAAATATTATAAATTTCGAAGAAACTGTCGAGATGCTTGATTATCGGGGGTTTTGTATAGATTAATAAGAAATAGCGTAGAATGGTTGACTGAGCATTTCTTAAGAGACGAATTTGAAAGTATAGAGGTGGTGCTTTAAGGGCTACTGAAAAAATGAGAATTTTTCTTCGTTACGTGGGTGACCCGGGATTCCAAAGTGGTGTTGCTGAAGATATAGGAGTACACCAAACAACAATTTCTCTCTACAATTTTCTGTCTCACAATATACCGTTTGTGTCGGGGAAGGGATCATAGTTTCACAGTTCATCAATAAAAATTCGACAAATTTGCAAGTAGCCAATAAAATGAGTGGGCGGAGCGATTTGCGGTGACGTACTCGTTAAGTCGACGTATAAAATATATTGCTGTTTATTTAAATGTTTTTTGTCCGCATTCCTTTCATAGACACAGAACCAGCAGACGTACTGTATGTGAGGGAGGCTAAAACATAATT